CACAGCCGACACTTCTGACTCTCTGCTCTGTTTCCCACGGAGCTAGGAGACCCTACGAGTAGAGCAGCCCGATCCAGGTGTGGGCCGACGCCCAGGAACAGTGTGCGCCCCTGAGGTGCTCGGCCCTGGGCTAATGCCTACCATCTCTGCTCTGGTCGAGAGGCTGCATTTGGAACCTACATGTGGCAATTTTGCAGGGCAGGAGAGGCACAGGGCCTTCAACCCTGTCCTCAGGGACACCAGCCAGAGTCAACTCGGGCCCTGGCTTCACTAACACTCTCTTCCCACAACTAAGCCAGAAGGTTCCCCTTTTCACTTCTGCAGATTTGCATCCATGATCCGTTGATCCCTTAAGCAGAGAGCTTCTCTTAAACTCTGATAACTAAACTGGTACTTGGTAAACACTTAGTGACCAAGAGCAAGCATGACATGATTCTGAATGGAATAAGCCTTTAAATAACACCAGGCCAACTTTTCTATGAAACAGTTCATCCCTTCTTCCGTAACCACAGCAAAACAGGAGGTAAGCACTGGGCGGCAGGGAGCCGTGCAGGGAGAAAGGCTTCGCCTGTCCGGCGCGCACACCTGTCAGGCCAAGCGCTGTGGCACCTCGGCCTGAGATCACGTGGCATCCAGGATCTAATTATTCTCCAGAAATATAACTGGTTTTCTCTGTTCTTGTTTTGCACCAGGCGTCTGTTGACAGGCAGAAGTTTGCCAAAGTCCTGCACGTGAACTGTTACCCTAAAAGCTGCCCTGGGCGCCAAGGAGCACAACTTCTCCGCGTCGTGGGAGTCTGGGCTTCCAGGAGAAAAGCGGAAGCCCAGGGGATCCTCAGACCCCAGGGTGTGCTCAGTCTGACCCTGCTCAGAGGAGAACCTTGGCTCCTGTGTGGTCCTCTTTTAAAGTGAGCCTGAATTTGTTTTAGGGACCCAATTTCTGCTTGCCACTGAGATGAAGAGAGGATGTAAAGTCATCTCTCGAATCTCTGCAGAACGTCAAATGGCTGTGATGTTCAAGATCAGTTTCTTTGGGGAGCTGGAGGGAGACTCCATTGCAGGGGACTGGGAAACCAAAGCGGCCTGACAGAAGGCCCTGTCACTGTGTCAGACAGACGTGCTCAGCTAGTCGCCCGCATCTGCCATCTTCCATAACGAACGCTCGCAGGCTCCGGCACCTGCCTCTGCTGCCGGCAGCGGTGGTCAGGTGGCACACCCACCCTCTAGCCAGCCAGCACCCGGGCCCCCCTCCCTCGCAGCGCCCTCCAGATCACTGTGGGCCAGGACTCCAAAATGTAAGGCAGGGGCCAAATGGAAGGAGGGAGTGGTCTGTGTGAACACACCAGAGGAGCCAAACACTTTAATATTTTTTTGTGGTAGGGGGGAGGCAAAATTTAGTCATTTTACCTAAAGTGCCTTTTACTCTGCCTCTGGCAACCCAGGGTTACAGAAAACTCAGCACCAAAGGATCAAAGTGAACACTCCACCGTGTTCCCCATTTCTGCTCTCCCCCTGCACCTCACATACCCTCTGAATGGTCACACTCACCCACACATCATTCTCATTCGTATGTGTTCTTTCTCTTACGCACACACACGCACACACACACACAAACTCGCGGGGAAAGAAAGGACCGAAGCCCACTGAAGCACGTGGGGGAAAAGGTTTAAGCTCATCTTCCTCCCCATCTGGCGCTGAGACCGAACCCCCTGCCTCCCCAGCAGGGGCTCACCCAGCTTTCGCTGGGTCCCACCAAGGACGATGGCAGCATCTACCAGTCCCCCAAGGCCCCCTTTGGATGGTGACGCGTCCTGGGTCAGTCGCTGTGTTTCTGCTTGTTGTCCATGTTGCCGTAGGCGGAGCCCTTGTCAATTTCTGTGACGCCGATCATCCATCGGACCCCCATGGAAGCTGCAGGGACAGGAAGGGCAGCGAGTTAGGAGAAACTTGTAGGAACTCTGGTGAGATTTCCAAAGAAGGCAGCTGTCTGCATCTCCAGCATCAGCTGCAAGCCGGCTGACCTGGGGCACATTTCATACTTCCTGCCTCACAGCTACCCTTGAGCTTGGGCATCAGGGCCTAACTGCACCAAGTGACAGACAAGAGCAGGTCTTCTGATGGCGGGTTTTAATCCTTCGACGGTGGACACCCTGCAAGTGAACAGAATTTAGTAAGCCGTACCCCGCGTTGCCTGGGGGCTTACAGAATTCCTCTGCTTCCTGTGCCGATCCCTAAGGCAAAGAGGATTCTGTGGTGAATTCAGTGCAGTCACAGGCACCCTTCAGCAAAGCTCAGGGAAGGACACACCAGCACCTGGAGAATGCAGCGCCCCACGTCCCAACTCTGCTTTTGGTGTGAATATTGGAGCAGCAGACGAGCAAAGTCCTTGCCTCCATGGAAAGCCTCTTCTCCAACAGCGGGGTTTGGCCCAAATAGAGAAAGTGCAGGACGCACCTGAGAGCCTGGTTTAACCACTAGGAAGCCGGCAGACCGGGTATAAAACTCAGAGGCAGCAGTTAAAGCCTTCCCTCTGGAGAGGACGAACTCGGTGAGCTCCCTGGGTGTGGGGACCACGTCTTAATCGCCTTGACGAGCTGAGCACTGAACACAGGGCCCGGCAGCACAGTCCGTTTACAGTGTGTGTAAGCGTGGACAGATGGTAGTGGCTGAATCCCTCCCCCGGTCGTGACGTGCACATCTATAGTGTGAGCATCGAGTCTGTGAAACATCAGACACGAAGCCGGCGGAGTCCACCCAAGGTACAAGGCACACACAGACCCTGGGTCAGTTACAAACGGGCCACTTGCAGCCTGGGGCCAACTCCAAACAGGCCAGGGCATGAGCCCTCGTCCCCGCGTTAGAACTTCTGTGCAGCGGAGCTGATGATACTGTAGAGTGAACCACAGATGCCAGTGCCGGAAGGCTTGTGGGAGGAACAAGACAGAGCAATCAAGGGCAAAGTGTAGCAAGGCTGGGCTCACGGTGGCGAAGCCCTGGGGAGACAAGAGCAGTGGGTTCCTCCAAAGCTGGAGACACCCCATGTCTCTCAGGGACAGTGCTGGGCCCTCTGCTCACCACACATCGGGGCGGCCCTTCCTCAGCCTTTATCTGAAGGAGCCCAGCTTCCTCCAGAGCCTGAGTGTTTACTTTTCTGTTACTCCTACAAGCAGAAAGGCTGGGTCCATCCCCATCCCACCTGGGGTCTGGCAAGTGCAGGTCCCCGCACACCTGGCCAGCGCTGCCGCAGGCCGGCTGTGTGCAGTGGCACCCGGTGGCCCCACTTCAAGAACAAGTGCAGGCAAGCCTGGGGCTAGGAAGAAATGGCAGTCACCTGAAACCACATACTGGTCAGATAAAGCCCACGTGGATGAGTGAAAACACTGGGTTACCCGGTACCTCCATTCCATGTCCCTACACGTGGCAACCGAGGAGAGGCACCTACGCTGCCCCAAAGGGGCGCTCTGAATGGCAGAGCCTTTGTCAGTTCCTGTTGGACCCCAGGAAGTGGTCTTCCCCGAGCCCAGGGAAGCGGGAGCCCATCCCCGGAGGGGTGCCCGTCCCCCGAGGGGTGCCCGCAGCACCGCTGGGCCCCGGGGGCGAGGAGCCCCGCCCGGGCAGAGGATTCCCTGCGGACCTGGCTTCTCCCCGCCTGTCGAGCTGCAGGATCTGCGCAGGCCCCCTGCCCCCCACCCCCGGCCCCGGGCTCCCGCGCGGCCCGGCCGGACTCACCCACGAAGAAGAGCAGG